AGCCATTGGGGTTCAAGCAGGGAGTTGTCGCTGGTATCCCCAAGGGCCCAGACGGGCCCTATGCTTCGAGCAGAAGAAACAGGCTGCTCACCTCGACTCCCAGTAAAGTGTATCACAAACACATCCGCGCGCAGGCCCAGGCGGTCATGGCCATCTCACTGGAAGCATCCCAGTGTGGAGGCAGAATAGGCATGGGGACGGATTTTGCTACTCACTTCATAACGGCTAAGCTGCACATGCACATGAGAGCAGGCAAGAGCAGCATAGCGCTTTTTGCACACTTAAAGGCAGCTCTTCACACTGTGATCAGGCAAAGCCTTTGCAATATGCCTGCCGAGAGAGAGGATTCTGAACTCGCGCTAAGCAACTTGCCTGTCCATCCTGCCCTCTTGCATGCGGTGCAGCATCTTGCCCAGACGCCGATCTTAGAGCAGTACTCCACCAGTGAGCATCTCAATGCACTTTTTTCGGCGGCCCTATCCTCTGGATTTTGGGCGTGCAAGAAGGCCAAAGGGTTTAAGAAACCCATGCTGGGAACCAAACCTGGGACGGTCCTAGCGACCGACGCTTTCAACTACGTGTGTTCCCCGATGATTCGGGACCTCCAGGCCAGGCTTAATGAAGAAGGGCTCACGTGGAAGCCAGATTTGGAGCCAGGGGCCGTTAGGTTTGCGCAAGAAACGGATTTAGACCATGCCCATGATACCATCTCTTTCGTCGATGATCTCACTGTACTCTGTGCCATCGACCAGGCGGCGGATACACGAGCTGCGCTTGTGAAGGCCACCGAACACTTGGCAGAAGTGACGTTTAACAGCGGATTGCGGCTTAACCTAAGCAAGACCGCGGCGCTTATTATTCCTGTGGGACCAGGCACCAAAAAGGCTCAGCAGGAGTGTTGGGGCCCCCAGGGCCGAGAAGTGTACATCCCCTCCCTAGGAGCCTCTGTTCAAGTGAAGCGAACTGTCAAGGCCCTGGGTACCATGGTTATCGATCGTCTCGACATGTCGGCCTCAGTTGCCAGTGAGGCGCGGCCAATTCAGCGCACCCTTGGGCCTCGGAAGAAGCTCAGACTTGACCTGAAAGTCAGATATGCGGAAAGTTTCGCTCCCACGGGGCTTTTTTACAATGCTACCATCTGGGGTCAGCTCAGCACACGACTCGCCAAAAAAAACTCTTCAATGCTCAGATAAGGCCCTACAGGGCCGCCCTGGGACTGTCGATCAGCAATTCTGACGTGGGACACATTGCACATAATGACATTTTGTCACAAGCGCACAGGATGGAGGCCAAAGATGTGCTTCGGGTGGCGCGCCTCAGGTACTTACCCAGGCTGCTGCGTCAAGCACCGCCAGCACTCAGAGTTGCCATTGAGTTTCTTTTTCAAGAAAACAGCGGCTGGCTAGTGCAAGTGGCAGACGATCTCCGATGGATGACTCCGCTTTGCCTCAAAGGGGAGCTGCGGCACCAGGCGCCCTTACTGTGCTGGCTCACGGAGGCCAGGACGGGGCCGCGCGCATTCCTTCGACGAGTGGCCAAGGCGGCCGCCAGAGCGCAGCACAATTTTGAAGAAGATTATCGAGCGATGCAGCTTGACAGGCACATCCAGCTCATCCAGAATGAAAGGCCCACTGCTATTGAAGTTCCAGAAAGCACTGTCACCATGTATGTGCGCTACGAATGTGGTTTCGCGACAGAGCAGATCAGGACTTATAACATGCACATGGCTAGGCAACACAAAAACATGAGGGATCCGATGTGCTGGGCTGCGGGCACGGAGTGCCAGTGCTGCAGGAAACAATGGCATACCCCGAACCGCCTTCAGGTTCATTTAAGAAGGTCCCACAAATGCAGATTGGCATGGGACCAGGCCTGGTACAAGGCTGGGGAGGAGGAGATGCAAGTTTGGAGGGATGTTGGGAGAGAGGTGCAGAAGAAGAATCGCAGCAAAGGTAAGAGTGATAATTGGGCGGAGTTCCCCCCCGTGCAGCTCTTTGGACCCTCGTTTTGTAGAGAGGCTCACTTGGGGCCTCTGGAACCCCCCTGCCTCCCCCCCACTGTGTGCGTCCCCATCCTGAGACCTCGGCAGAAGCAAAACCCACTGACCCAGGACCGAGCAAGGAAGGGTTGGAGCCAAGGTCTATCTTCTTGCGCTTGTACACGGGAAACAGGCACGACGGTGACTTTATTGAGTCACTTGAACGAGAATTGGCGGACAGTGGAAAAAGGGCCAGCATTCTCACCTTAGGGGATCAGGAAGGGTGGGGACAGCTTGCGCTGCCACAAGTGCTACGCTTTTGGGCTCAGCTCATCCAGGACGGTTTTGTTGGGGGGCTTTGGGCTGAGCCCCCCAGAGGTACCTGGCAGGCTGAGGGGGCCCGTGCTCGTCTGCCGCGGGACCCCAGCTCTCCTTGGGGAAGGAGAGCCCTCCGTGAGGTAGAGTTCACCCCCGTACGGGAGGATAATCGTGCTCTTAGGGCGGTGCTCTGGTTGACGCACGCCTGTCGTGGCGCGCAATTTCCATTTGGCATCATGCATGCCCCGTGGGCCAACGAAGCCTCGCAACCCACCATTTGGGGACTTAAAGAGGTGAGCATGCTTGAGGGATGTAGATTGGATTGCGACGGGAGTAGCATTCTATTGTCTGGCGTGCATGTTTCCATCCCTCTCGTGTCCACTCTCACGCCTCTTGCTTGCGTGGCCCAGAAATTCGCCGCTCTCATCCATTCATCCAATCACCGTGACCTAGCTCCTGAGCTCACTGAGCTGGAGCTCAAGCTGGACCCTTATGGTTTGGAACCTCTGGGGGGTGAGGGTGATGAGGGGAACGACCTGCCAGCTTAGGTTGTGGTGCGGCCAGTTTTTTAATCCCCTTTACTGCCTCTGCTTGCTGCCCTCTCTCCACTTAATCCATTGTGATAGGCTGCGTGACTCAGAGGCCTTCATCGACCGACCGACCGACCGACCGAGGAGGAGGAGGAGGAGGAGGAGGAGGGGCCACGACGGGCCACCGATTTCGGTGGCCTGGGCTCCCTCGCAAAGCGCGCGAGGAAGCAAATATGGAACGCTTGCGGACAAGTTGCTTCTAGGGAAACGGGCCACGCCTTCGAGGAGTCGAGGGGGGGACCTCCTGAGCCTCTTCTGTCCCCCCTGTTGGAAACTGGAATATCTGCATTGCCAGCGGCGTGCTGCGTTTTCAATCCCATGGTTTTTGGAGGATCCGGGACGACGGCGGGGTGGTGCGGTGTATACTTGTTCCCCCGTTTTCCCGGGAAAACGACAGAAAATGTAAACACCAGGATCCAGTATGCACCAGGATCCGCTTTCGTGTGCGAGTTTCAGTGCAGGGCCACAAAAAGCGTCGGTGAGTTCGGCTCCTTACCTCTGGCACCCTGTCAGCCCAATGTGGCCTCCCCACTGAAAGGCGAGCTTGAGATCGCGTCGCCAAAGCCCCACAAATTCGAGGATCGAGGTTAGAGGATCAAGGGTGGATCTTGACATGTTGTTGTGTGTGTTTTTGTTCCGCCTCACAGGGGCGTCTCGTCGCTGTGGCTGGATTCCCTTTGAAATTCTGGCCAGGACGCATCCATGGAGTGGTACGGTGGGTGATTTTTCACGAGGGGGGACACCCATACATGAGGCGTCTAGGGAGGCCTCGCCCTCGAGGAGTCGCGGGGGGGTGATCCTGGCGGGAGCCAGCGGAAGTGAGGCAGGTTCGGTTCCGCAGAAGATCGGCGGAAGTTGGCGGAAGTGCATGAGGCCCCCACAAGAAATGCGACCGCTGGCGCAGTCAGGCTTTCTGGAGCCAAACACATTGCACGTCGCGCTCCGTGCGCCTCTCGTGATATTCGCGGCCATTTCCGCAGATCGCGGCGAGGTCAGCATCGTCCGAAGGGATAGCTTCTGCTCACGGACTGGGCGCCAGTCGGACGGTGCTGGAACGAGGATAATCCGTTCCAAAGCATTCCGGAACGCTTGCAGAGCTTTCTGGAACGCCTTGAGAAGGCCGTGGCGCCCGAGACATCTTCCGAGCCGCCGGATCTCGGAGATTCTCAATTTATCCTCACCCGAATGTGTCCTCGTCTTGGTCTCGTCTAAGTCAGGCTACCCCCGCGGGCTCGTGGGCTCGCGTGTAAACCACGTGGTGGCGAGGAGGGGGCGGGGAAGAGAGGGAGACAGGGCACGGAAAGGGGAAGGGGGAGGGGAGGACGGATCAGAGGGGAGCTTCGCTGCCTCGGTACGCCAATTTTGAAACGCAACACGTCTCGTGCTTACAACGTCCGTGACAGCACGTTGCGTGGTGCCTCAGCGTATTGGCCCACGTCTTGGCGAGCGTATGGCGTCATACCTACGTTGTCAGTCTGCGTGTTGAGCAACACGCTACGTGTTGCGCGTTACGTATCGGGGCTTGGGAGGGGAGGAGGGAGGGGATAGCAAGCAGAAGAGGCCGAAGCCGCAGCTGGGCGCAGTCAGAAGCGAACCTCTCGGGTCCCTTCGCAGTGCGGCTCCGTTGTGCACGCCTGATCGACAGGACGGGCGAGGGGGGTCGGAGCATCCGAGCTGGAACAAAGGGGAGCGTTTCCAAGAGGAGGCTCAGAAAGAGCGGAGGATCAGCAGGGGGAGGAAGTGCATGTCCACAAGGAGGAGGTGGTTGAGGAGGAGGAGGAGGAGGAGGCAGAAATCTAAAAGGCCAAAGCAGCACGGAGAGCCTACCATGGGCATTGGTGGTGCCACAGCCGAAACATAAGAAAGTGCATTGACATGAACTCGGAGCTCCGCGCGGATTTCTTGGATCTGCGCCGGGGCCCCCTGACGGCTCCGCCCCTAGCGCGCTACGCGCGCCGGGAAGGGGGGCCAGCGCAGATCAAAAAAACATCACGCAGAATTCCGAAAGTTTATGTTTATGCCGTCTTTCGTTCTTTTCTTCTACACAGGCCTCGGCTCTCCGCTTGATCTCGTCTGACCTCTGCCAAGGTCCAGCGGATTGTGCAGTCAGACCGATGCTCGCCTTGTCCTCCAAGCGCGCACCGCCCGCAGGGGGGCGAGGGACCAGAAGCGAGAACGGGAGAACGAGAGTAGAGGAGGCGGGTCTCTTCTTGCTCCTCTTCCTCACTCCTCCTCGTCATCCTCCTCCTTCTCCGCCTCGCTGTCTCGGGCGCCGTTAGAAATGCCGCCATGAGGGGCGCGGACTTCTCTCGCCCCTGGACGGGCCTCTTCTCGTTCGCTCGTGCTCCTGTCCGCCTTCCTCTTTTGGCAGTGGCGCGCTCGCGGTCTTAGATTTTATTGGGCCAAGGTTGCTGCCACTCCTGGCCGCGCTCACATGCGCAACCAGCAAGCTGAGTGGTGATGAGTGGGGAGTACCCTGATCGTCCGCTACGCCGCCATGCGCAGCAACGGTGCCGACCCGATGCAGTCGGACCTCTGTGCCAAGAAGGTGAAGAAGTAGTTTGGGTTGGTCAATGCTGGCATGTATGTGGAGCATTTGGGGAAGAAGGCTGAACCTGCGGTCGTTGAGCAGTGGATGGATATGGCTTCTGATTCGCATCGTGTTCCTGAGCAACTCCTGCCTGCCTGGATCGTACTCGGAAGTGGCTAGACTGGTCGGCTTCGCATGCTTTGCTGGCGTCACAGTCCGCGTTCATGAAGTGGGTGCAGGGCACTTGGAGGTCCAAACCTGGAGCGGCGAATCGGCATGTCAAACAGCCCTCGCCCTTGGAATGAGACGGGTGCGATCGGCATGGTTCGGTTACCACTGACAAGCAGGAGATGCTCCAAATATTCGGCGGTTGAGTGGAGTGGCATGTGGCGCGACCCTGTGGACAAGGCCAACAATCTGATTTTCATGATGGGCGAGTGTTTGGAAATTGCGAGGGAGGACCCGCTGCAGCAGCTCACGCTCATGGACATCGATGCTGTTTTACCCACCCTACCCGCTAGGAAGGCGAAAGGAGTTGATGTCATGAGCCCCATTGATGTCCAGCGTCAACTTGAAGCAGCTCGGCAGCATTTGGCAGATAGATTGAACTGTGTGAAGCAATGTGGGGCTTGGCCCACATGTCTGAGTACTGTCCTTGGCGCTGCCATACCCAAGGAAGCTGGAGGACACAGAGTGTTGGGATTGGTTCCTCTGGTGCATAAGGTGTGGTCCAACCTTCGCACCAAGCATTATGGCGGATGGTCCTCTTCCAGGGCCGTTTGCTACTTCAAGTTGGTTTGGGGATAGTGTTCCCTGCTGCCATCCTGCTCCTGGAGGTCGTCCTCTACGCGTCGCCTCGTCTCCTCAAAAAGGGGCAGGTAATCTCGGACGAGATGGCGGTCACTCGGTCATGTTGCACCAGCTGCTGGAGGACGTTCACCGTTCCTGTCCCCTCACTGGCCTTTGGAGCTGCATTGATAATGTTGCTGGCAGGTCGGAGGGCACCAAAAGCAAAGTTATCTCCGACATGTATACTACGGCGACGGCGGCGACCGCTGGCATTCGGGATTTGAGGCTCACCATATCGGATAAGACCAAGCCGGTTGCCAGTAGCGACGAGATCGGTTGTGCATTACAGCGGTTGGTGGGCAAGAAAGGTATTCCAGCGCAGCACGTCCGCGCCACTGCAGATCTCGGTTCATGCGCGGCTGGAGACAGGCGGCGCGCGACGCATCGGATGCGGAAGCGACGGCCACAAGCAAGAAGGAGGCAGAATAAGACGACGAGGTTGAGACGGCTGCCCAAGAGCAAGTTCATCGCCAAGAAGCTCTTCAGCACGGGCGTATCGCGGCGGACTTCGGGCACCAGATCACGGGGTGGCATTGCGGCGTTCACAACCTGCGCTGCATCCACGGATTCGGAAGGCATGGCCTAGAATATGCGAGGTGCTTCGGGGGGGTGGCGACGTCAACCGTGCTGGTATCCATTGGAAGGATACACGTGGACCTATTGCCGCCGCCCTGGCCACGCTGCTCGGTTGGGACGTGGCGGGGCCAGATGTGTGACCACGCCCCTGCGAGGATGGCACCATCGATGACTGGTTCCTTTTGTGTTTTGCGGTGAGCAGTTCAGCAGGGCGGCGCCTGCCCACTTCGAGGACATGATCGGCGCGTTCTCGGACGATCGCGCGCGTGCCCAGTGGAAGGAGGCGCCCCACCACGTCGCCAGGGGGGGGGACTCGACGCGGGCGCCGACCTGCTGACGGCGCAGATGGAGCTGAACCGCATGGCCAAGCGTGCGCAGTTGGATGAGTAGTCCGCCAACGTTGCCGTCAACGCGGGCGGGCAGTGGACGCGTGACCGCCAGTTCGCCGCGGGCTACGCCTGCCCTCCCGCCTGTCCCCGACGCAAGGAAGGGCCCGAATCCTTAGCGCACCGGAATTGGTTGTGCCCTTCTAGTTGCGGGCACGAGGATTTCACCAAGATTGACAGTTTGATCCCCCAAGCCCCAGCTGGATGGGAAGCCAAACCAAGCCTGGCTCAGGGGGGTCCCCCCGAAGGACCTCACGCTCCCCAGGTTTGTTGAGTCGGTTGAGCTTGCTTCGGAGGTCCTTCTGGGGGAAGGCACGATTTCTGAATTTTGCTCGTAGTCCGGAGGCCCCCCTCTGGCCATCATTGGAGATGGGTCTGGCGGGTTTAGCGCGGATCCTCGGCGAAGGAGATGCGACTTGGCGGTTGTTGGACACCTCGTCGCCTCTCTCGTGGGTCCCCCAGTGCGGAGTTGCTCGGGCCCTCTCGGGTAGGAGGCAGACGGTCCCTCGCGCTGAGCTCCAGGCATTCAGCCTGGCCTCAGAGTTCTCTGCGGGGTCGATCTGCTATGCAACTGACTGCAAGAGCCCGGTATCGGACTGGTACTCTGGCCGCGCTCGTTCTCCTCAGGGCTTGAATAGTGATTTGTGGGTCCGAGCTGCTCGGGCGTTGGAGGCCCGCGGCCGTGGCGATGTTTCTCTGCCCTGGACCCCTTTTCCCACACCAAGGATGAGCTGCAGTCGGTCACCCCTGATTTTGTTTTTTCCTGAGCCAGGGCAACATCAGTGCTGACGTGCACGCGGGATTTGCGGCCCAGTGGGCCTGGGAGTGGCGCGCGGTTCCCCCTCCCCCTCGCACCGACCCGTGGGACACTACGGCGGCACTTTGAGGAAGCGGGCTCGGCGGGTATCCCGATGGCGTCGTAAGCTGAACCGCGGGAGGGAGTCCGCCCGCTTGCCCAGCCCAAGCCCAAGAAGCTTACATGAGTGTACCCAACGTAGTGTCCACCAGTCCAAGGACTTTGTGGGCCGCTGGCGACGCGTACTGTGCAAGACTACAGTTCCGCGCAGCCAGGTCCTGGAGGTCGCCTCGTCCCCTTTGTGTTCCTCGCCTCCCGCCGCCTCGGTCGGACTCGGGCGGCCAGGTTGACCCGTTGCCCGAGTTCGGTGAAGGGTTCGAGGCGATCCCGGGGGGAGGCGCGGGTTGGCTCGGCAAGGTTGCACCCGAGCCACCGCCTGGCCAGGACGGAGGCTTTCGGTCTGACGTTTTGCCAGCACTGCGGCTCCACAGCCAAGTCGGAAGGCCGATGGCTGCGCGATCAGTGCACACACACACACACACACACACACTCGGAAAGGGCGGAAAAATCTCAACAGAATTCGTAGAGGCCTCTTCCTGTCGCATCGTGGCCCACCCGCGGCCGTGGCGACGGCGACTCTTTTGAGGCCTCCTCCCACCCGCCCTTGACGCAGGAAGGGGCTGTGCTGCGCGGGGGTGAGATCGGGAGGCCTGTAATTAGCGAGTATGAAACGATCTTCTCGGTGCGGGCTCGACCCCAGGGCGCCACCCCAGGGCCCGCCCGCTCTGATGCGTGATCGCACGTGCGTGCATGTCAGCAGAGTCCTCCTCCTCCTCCTCCTCCTCCTCCTCCTCCTCCTCCTCCTCCTCCTCCCCCTCCTCCTCCTCCTCCTCCTCATCCTCCTCCTCCTCCTCTGGGCCTTCGGGCGGGGGCCTCGTCGCCGCGCCTGGATCCGCCCCGAATCCTCGATCAGAGCGCGCTCCAGGAGAGTCCGCGGGTCGACTCCGATGGAGGAGGAGCCACGGCGGCGGCGGCAGCTGCGGTGCCGCAGAGGACGGAAGCGAGAACGCAGGGACAGCAGGTGGAGGAGGAGGAGGAGGAGGAGGCGGATGAGGAGGAGGAGGAGGAAGATGAGGAGGAGGAGGAGGAGGAGGAGGAGGAGGAGGCGGAGGCGGAGGCGGAGGCGGAGACGGAGGAGGAGGAACAGGAGGCGGAGGAGAAGACGGAGACGGAGGAGTCGGAGGAGGCGGAAGAGAAGGTGGCGGACGTCTGGCCCTCAGGAGTTGCGGGCGTGGGCCCGGAGGGACTTGGGGGGTCCGAGGTGGCTCAGCACGGGCCGCGGCGAGCAGGAAGGAGGTGCGCTTCCGAGGTTCGAGGTTCTGGGCTCCAGGTTCGAGGTTCCAGGGTTCGAGAGGGTTCTGGGTTCGAGGTGCGGGGGGCGGCGAGGCTCGAGGTTACGGAGGGTTCGAGCAGGTGTCTTGCCTTTTGTTGGCCACTGGGGGCCGTGCCCCCAGGTCCGTCAGAGACGGATCCGGGGTGAAAACGGGGCCCTCGGGAGGGATTTGGGGACCAGTGGATCCGTTCACACGCACGCCCTCGCACCAGGCGGGCGCGTGCGGAGTGACGGCACGCACGTTGGCCGCCCGACCATTTGACGGGCAGAGCTTGCGTGTGATGTATGTATGGTTGATTATGTTTATTTTCTTGTCACTTAGCGCAACCCTTGCAAAACAAATCCGCCGGCCCCCTTGTAGGGCCACCAGGCTGTAGGCCGAAGGTTCGCAGTTTCCTGTACCAGTTGAAACGGGCAGGTTTAGCACGCCCTGAGCGTGTTGTCTGAATTGCTGGGGTGGGTAAAAATTTACACCACTCACGCAGATCGGCGGGGTCAGGGTCCAAAAACATAAAGGGATTTGCCACATTTTGAAATTCGGTGGCACCCCTCACGCAGATCGGCGGGGTCAGGGTCCAAAAACACATTGGATTTGCCAAATTTCTGACATTCGCTGGCACCCCTCACGCAGATCGGCGGGGTCAGGGTCCAAAAACACAAAGGATTTGCCACATGTCTGACATTCGGTGGCACCCCTCACGCAGATCGGCGGGGTCAGGGCGCAAAAACAGATTGGATTTGCCACATTGCTGAAATTCGGTGGCACCCCTCACGCAGATCCGTAGGGTCAGGGTCCAAAAGCACATGGGATTTGCCACATGTTTGAAATTCGCCTCCTCCGCCTCCTCCCCCTCCTCTCGAGGAAGAATTTCGCCATAGACATAAACTTTTGGCGCTGCGCGCGGAGTTCGTGGATAAGCGCTGCCCCCCCCCCCTGGCGGCGCCTCTTGCGCCGCCCCTGGCGTGCTCCGCGCGACAGGGAGGGGGATCCAGCGTAGATCCAAAATATCCGCGCGGAGCGCCAAGAGTTTATGGTTATGGCGTTGCTTTTTCTGTTTGATCCTCCTCGCCATCATCACCCGTCCTCGTCCTCCTCTCATATTCCTGGCTGCGGCTCGGCGCATCTTGAGCCGAGACAAACATGTTCCGAATTGGGCTTGAGAGTATCACCGCGTGTCCGGTGTAATGGTAAACGCTCTGGTTGTGTGCACTACTTGTCTGAATATCGTGAGTCAAGTTTCCAGCGCAATCACTGTCAGCAGCCCGACCACGGGCCATTTGCCCAAATATCAGCAAGCGCAGAATTCAAATACATCAGAAGAATGAAATGCAGTCCACTGGAGTGGACTGAAGCAGACTAGACTGGAGAAGAGCGGACTGACCTGGGATGGATTCTGCTCCACTCTACTCTACTCTATTCTACTCTACGCTAGTCTGCCCCACTCTACTATATCATCGCCCTACTTCATTATGCTAAACTCTACCCTACTCTACCCTACCATGACCTAACTTACTTGACTCTACTCTTCTCGCACTCTACGCCCACTCCATTCCTACTCTGACCTACTCTCCTCCACTTGACTCGGCTCTACTCAACTCGATTATACCCGACTCTACTCTACCATCTACCCGACTCAACCCTGCTCTATCCTGCCTTACTCGGCCGTACCCTAAAATGATGTCCTCTATTAGACGTAGATTCGACTCTCCTCTTCTCTGCTCTGCTCGATTCGATTCTGCTCAACTGTCATCACATACTCTTCTCTACTCTACTCTGCTCTAGTCACATACTCTACTCTGCTCTAGTCGGCTCGACTCTACTCTACTCTTGAATTTGACGGTTGATGGACGATTGTTGGGACGCCATTGGGATCGCCACAGGAAGCAATTCGAATAACAGAGGGAGCCAAGCGGATAGAGACGAAGCCATGCGGATACAGAGGAAGCCAGGCGGATAGATTTGACGATTGTTGGACGATTTTTGGGACGCCTTTGAAATAGCCACCGCATGCCACTGGAATAGTAGAGGAAGCCATGCAGATACAGAGGAAGCCATGCGGATACAGAGGAAGCCAAGCGGATACAAAGGAAGCCATGCGGATAGCAGAGGAAGCCATGCGGATACATAGGAAAACATGCGCATTGTTTGACGATGCAGGGGCGAAATGGGGGGGCAGTAGTGGACCAGTTCTCTATGGATCGAGCTGGGACTCCTATAGGCAAGCCTACTTGGAGAAAACAACTACCAGGGTGCGAACGTGACACTGGCTTCTCATCCTCATCTTTCACCTCCGTTCCCCATGTTCTCATTCCTGCTAGATTTGTCCACTGCGTTGTGCTCCAGCCGCCGGGTGGGAAAGCGCGCGCTGGAGTGTTTGTTGGCTGGAGGGCTTTCCATGAACAGGGAACTTACGGAGCTTCTGGGACAGCTGGATTGAATGAGTGTTCCACGATTGCGCCAATCATAAAGAATCATCATATTCGCTCCCTTGGCCCAGCGTATCTTCCGCAGCTTCCTCGACGCTGGCTCGGCTGTTTAACCACTGCGCAGGCATGGGCTCACAACGAGCAGGGCCGGCCCATCGTTTACTCAAGATTTCGGTATCGTTTAACCAATCCCCATCCCCATCCCCATCCCCTTCGAGACCCCCACCAAATTAACCCCCGAGTTGGGGATACACCCCTCGAAACCCGAAGGGAACGGCCTATATCCCCATCCAGGGGGTAAATCGGCCAGTGGGGCCCAAGCCGCGCCGCTGAAGATGGGGATAGGTTAAACGATTCTCAAGATTTGCCTGAAAGTTGCTCCAGGCTTCTCAGGTCAACTGTTTCTGGATCGAATTATCAGTTGCCGATCTAGCCCCAGCCATACAGTAGGTATCGGAGTCAGAGTTAGATGTGGAGTATGTCAGCTTACAGCGGAAAGGGTCAGCGTTGCTTAAATTAGCTTGCGTGATGCGTGTGCTTGTACTGGCTCAGCTGAATTGAATACTTAAGCCTAGGTGTAGCTCATACTGACCTGGATTAATTTATCTTGGCGGCACTTTCCCCGCTGGCACGAGGCTAATTCAAATTGATTCCAAGACTGGGTGTTGCTGACATGGTTCAGCTCAGGTTTGATGTGTGTATGTGATGGCGTGCCCCACACTGTCTTGGTTGCCTCGCTTCGCATTGGCTTTCGCCTCAGCCATAGCCGTAGCTTTACCAGCCTGTACCAGTGCAGGTTCAACCCTTGGCATTCATTTTAGCCCTCACCTCAGGATTCGCCTTAGCGTCATTCGCCTCGGCATGAATGTCACTATCATCCTCAGCTTGTTTGTTCAAACGTAGCCGCAGCTGTGGGCAAAGCCTAGCCTTAGCATCGTGACTGGCTTTAGCCTCAGACTCAACTGTGGATTTAGCCTCGCACATGCTGGCGTGTATTGCCAAGACTTCTCACCCCACTTCCCTCTGACATGCAATACACCCTGTCTTCAGCCAGTTCCGCTGCCGCCACGCTCTGGGGTGAGAGGGTAAATGGGTTGACATCTGTTCTGATTCGGACCTCGCCACCGCACCATCCAGCTAACTGGCAACAACACATCCGCGATCTTCGCGACAACGTCAGATCGGAATCGCGCGTGTCGGCGTGTGAAAACTCGTCGCGACGTTCTCCCAGGGCTTCCGAAGAGTCCCCGCGTGGGGTGGCGAAGTCCGAGTCGGTTTGAAAATAGATGCTGCAAGGCCTGCTTTGGCGACGCCCGCCCTCGTGGCCCTGCTCAGCCTGCTCCAGCGCGCGTTCGTCCCCGTTGCTGACGTCCAGGAGGCGGCCTTGCCCTCGTTGCTCCTTTGCTGGGGAATTGGTATCAGGCCGACATTTGGTGTTGGGGAGGACAGGGGCTTGGATATGTTTGAGGGGCCCGCATCCCAGGTTGCGGGGAAGCGGGGTGATTCAAGGGCGGTTTGCCTTTCTTGCTCCCAGTTGCCAGGCCTCGCCCCTTCTCCTGCTTGTCGGCCCAAACCCATGCGCTCCAGTCGGCACACTGAACGTTCTCGCTGCGGGGGTGGCTTCCTCGGTCGGCACCCACCTCGAAGCAGAGACCCGTTGCGGTGGCGCCGATTGGGGAATACGCCGTGAAGTGGCTAACGCTCGCGCATCTATGAGAGATTTGGCCTTCGTGTGCTGAACCCGAAAACGGCGAAGCCTCCGCCTTACCCCTCGCGGTGCAAACGGAAGGCCCATCAAATTCCCTCCAGCATGCGGGCCGCAGCCCCTGACCCAGACCGAGAGGAAAACCAACTTGAGAAGGTCGCTCCTGGCCGCCTTCGCGCTGCCAGTGCGGCGGGCGCGCGCCTGGCCACGACGCAGTGCACGCATCAGGAGGGGAGAAAACACACAAACACAAGCAGTCGTCGATGCCCAGGAAAATATAAGGAAACATGGGAAGTGGGGGGAAGACGAAAACCCAGAAAATATGGGCAGATTGGGACCTGTGTGTATTTATTTGTGTGTCCCTGGGCGCCTTCAGTCGATTCGATTCTGGGGTCTCCTGCAGTGCACACAGGAGGGGGAGGGGGAGGAGGAGGAGGAGGAGGAGGAGGAGGAGGAGGAGGAGGAGGAGGAGGAGGAGGAGGACGATGCGCATCCAGACTAAGGATCTCGACCCCGAGCCCGAGCCCGCGAAGCCGCAGGAGCACCGAGCCGGTGCTTCGGCCTACTACAGCCTCAGTATCCCCGAGCACGCGAGCCCCAAAATCCCTGGCACCAGAGCCGCAGGCCCGAGGCCGCGCTCGAGGCCGAGCACGAGCGCGAGCCCGAGCCCGACACCGATTAGCTTCGGCAGGCGCTCGCCTGCCCAGGGCTCGCTTCGATTCCTCCAATATTCGATTCGGTCCGAGTTCGATGGCTTCCGATTCCGATTCGACTTCGGCTTCGGATTCCGATTTGGGCTCCGATTCCTCAATGGAGACATTACTAGCCTGTCGACCCCCTCCGAATCGACTTCTCCCGACTCGGCTGCCGACTTCCGCCGATCCGATTCGTTCCGATCGCCGATCCGACGTATCGATTCGATTCTGGGCTCTCCTGCCTGCCAGGCGACAGAACCGCCGGACGCTCTCGAGGCGAGGAGGCTCGGTGAGAGCAAGGGGAACCGACTTAAGATTATACATCAGGGTGGCGTGCACGAGCATGCAAACTAACAGCTGCACGGTGCCTCAGGGGGGGGGGGGGGGCCAGGGGACGCCCTGAAGTCAGAAAGGACGCCGTGAGGTCTGGGGAGGCATCGTGGCCCTGGCCACGACATCCCCCCCCCCTGCAGTCATCGTGCTGCCAGCAGGAGCGCGGAGAGTAAGGAGGGAGAGGGGCCTGTCCGGCCACGGCTCTCGAGGCCAGGACGCTCTCAAGGCCAGCCCTCCCCCGGGGGAGGCAGAACAGCTTGCCTCCGTTTTGCCTGCGGCGTCGGTCCGGTGTGGCTGCTGGCCCCCCCCCGCCACGGTCGCTGGCACACAGCTTGGCTTCAGGGGGGCCTGTCCTTCTACAGGAGGAATGCTCAAAAACGGTCAAAGCATAGTCGGGGGACGGGGGACGATGTTTCGACTATTCTGGATTTGTGTCAAGTGTGTTTTGACTATGTCTTACTGGTCGTCCAAAACCCGCCTGTAGGAGGACGCGCCCGACCTAAAGCTCGGCCCGGTCTTCGCAGAAGCCTGACGTGTGCGGGCCTGATCACAGGCGAGACCTCGGCAGGCCCAGACCCTCTGGGGCACGATGGCGGGCCCGTCGGGCGGCACGAGTGCAGCTGGCGACGGCAGGAGCACACTCTGGTTGAGAGCGCCCCTTCTCGGAGCGGAGGGGAAGCGCGACTTCGCATCGCACAGTCGGCGAGTGCGTCCCTGATACAGCCCCTCGATGTGTGCGTCAGCTGCTGGAGGAAAAAGAGTCACGAAAAAACATATATATATATATATATATAATACAACGATACATATATATACAGTAAAATCTGTGTTTAAAAGACAAACAACAAAGAAAGAACAAAAACAAAAACAAAAAAGCGAGAACGGGACCGTCGGCCACGCCTGCGAAGTCAGCTGGCCGAGGGTGTGATCCGTTCTCGGGCCGTCTCCTGTCCTGGTGTCGGACAGCAGCTCGGCGCAGACCTGGTGAGTTGTCTGCCAGGGCCCAGCGCAGCGCGGCGTGTTTTGCTGCGGCTGCCAGTGTCGGATTGGGGTGCCTTCGGTAGCAAGTCATGGAAGCCTCGTATACCCTTCGGGGGTGGACAGAACCCCCGCCCTGACACGTCGGTTAGTGAATTGTCCGTTTTCGGTTCTCGAGAGGGCGCCGCGGCCGTCATTTTCCAGGCTTGCGCCCGCCAGGTTTGGGCCCGAAGTCGTTGTCACTAAAGCACGTTTTACTAAAGGGGGTTCTGTCCAACCCCCAAACCCTCGAAAGTCCGTCCTTATAGAGCACTAGCGTCGATTAGTTGGGACATCGCTGATTTACTGACGATTAGCGTCGGCTAGCGTCGATTAGCGCCGATCTAGCGTCGATTAGCTTCGACTAGCGGTTGATCAGCGTCGATTTGCAAGGGCCATCAAGATTGCATGGGAGGCTCCCATCAGTTGCCGCAGAAGGGTGTCCGCCCACGCCCCCGTGTCGATAAGTTGCGCTCTGGAATGTGGACGGAAGGACCGCCCTGACCGCAGCCCTCAGCCACCGGGCGCTCGGGCGAACTGAGATTCGGCCGGCCTCATCCTCTGCCTCCCAGAGAGGGTCGTAGCAGCTGGGGTCGGAGCACCGCGCCGCATCGCCGATGCATTCGCCGATGGGGTCGGAGTACAGTCAAGACGCTGAGATAATGACCGCTTTGGGTTCGGAAGGGGCTCGCTGTTCCTTCGGTCATCCCGTGGTTGTTCCTCTAGCCCTCCTCGCGCACGCGGGCTCTTTTGAGGCCAAAAAGGGGGCTTTGTTCTCCACGCCGACGGCGCCGATGCATCGCCGACGTCGCCCGTGCATCGCCAGTGCATCGCCGATGCAGAGGCGATACGGCGCGATCTCCCGATCCCGTCGACTCCGACCCCATCTAGGAGGCCTCTGGCGTCGGGCGGGGGCGGCAGGTTGCACTGAAGGCCAAAGTGCACCGTCGAGGGTTAGCTGATTGACATGTTTGATCGGTGAGCCATCGATGGAATTTCGGAATAGACTTCCCCAAGCACGGGTCATCGACGGGCGCTCGAATGCGAAGTACAGTGGAGACCCATACCAAGAAACACCCTGCTTGCCTCCAGGGTGCCCTGGGTTTCTTGGGTTTCGATGGCTTTGCAATGGAAAGCGCGACGTTCCCACACCAGAAATCAATCTACGTCCTGGGGTCTCAGGATTGAGTTTCTTGTGGAAGGTTTCTTGTGGTCGGGCCCCTACTGTCTCCTCCCCCTCCTGCTTCTCCTCATCCTCCCCCTGCTCCTCCTGCTCATCCTGCTTCTCCTCAACCTGTTCGTGCATAGTGGGGTTCTCGTGCACCGCTTCCGTGGCACTCGGGCCGACAGTCTAAGTCACCCGCTGGGGCGCGCAGAGAATCGCGCTTCGCAGTCTGGGCCGGAGCGGCTGCCCTTCTCCAGGGGGGCGGCGCGAGGGCGCGAGGACGCAGGGACGACCTCGCGCCGCGCACAGCACGGCGCGATGCGCGTGCCGTCAGAGCGAGCGAACCCTCGGGCGACCTCGCTGTAGGAAAAAAACAAAAAGAAACAAACAAACAAACAAAAAAATGGTAGGCTCCCGCTCGCGTCGTCGCTGGCTCCCACGCCGAGGGTTGTCTGGCGGCGAGCGCGGGGGGAAGTGAGAAGGGGCGGGCTCTCTCAGAAGGCTCGGAAGCCCCCCACCGGCCTTCCGAGAAGTCGTCTAGGCTTTCCCCGAAGACACGAACAATTTCTCAGAAGGCGCGAGGGCCTGTGAGAAGTCCCGCCGCCTTCTGAGAAGGCCTCCTCCTCCTCGTTTTCCCCCCCTCGCTCGCCGCCGAATCGTGCTCCTCCTGGCGCTCTCCTGCGGGCTCCGCGCCCTTGCGCCGCCACCCCATGGCGCCCCCCCCCGGGCGGAGGGCTTCCTGCCAGAGCTCCGCGCCGCCGCCGATCAAGACGGCGTGCCGGCAGCGGACACCACGGCGCGCGCTTCGTCGTCGTGGTCGCCGTCGTCGCCGTCGTCAATGTCCACAGGGAAGTCCTGTGATCCGGGCATTGCTATTTTCTGTTGTCGCACCCGGCGACTCCGCCCTGTTTCGGGCGTCGGGCCTGTCGCGGATCGATCGGGCTCGAAACATGCCGCAGAAAGATGGGGTCCAGGGCTGAGGTCGTGTTTTCTGCGATGCGACATGTTCTCGTGACATCGGATCTCAGGGAAAGGAGGCGGAGGAGGTGCTGAGGGCACCCACGCACACGCATACACACACACACACACACTCACGCGCACACACACACACACACACACACATACACTCCAAGCCTCCGACGCCCTGGTTCTTTCAACACGCGGGCTTCTGGGGCTCTCGACACCCGCCTCGTTTCGGGCGGGGCTCGCGCCAATGGTCTCTGCCTTCTATTGCGCCCCGGAACCAGGGAAAGCCATCCAGAGGCCCAGTGAAAGAGGTTCCTCCAGAGGAGGAAGGCCAATTCCAGAAGCATCATCGCTCGGAGGTCCGCGCGGATCTCCCCGAAGGTTTCTGTTTGTGCAGTTGTTGTTGTTGCTCGTTGGGTTCCGAACAGTCACTACGCTTAAGTCGGGCCTGTCCCCCTCTACAGGAGGAATATTCAAAAATCGCCCAAAAAAAATGTTAGGGGACGAATGTTTGAGTATTGTTGTGCATTTGGCATGTTTTGACTATTCTCTATTTGTCGTCCAAAATCCCCCTGTATGGGGGACACGACCGACCTAACACTACGCTAGAGCTCTGAGGATGTGCCGTAGACACACTTTTGCCGCGGCCATGCGAATACAAAATCGACTACAGAATTGACGTACCCCAAGCTTGAAAGGGTTGTCGAATCTGCGGGAAGGAAAACGTATAATTGTTGTAGGTCTGCGAGCATTATGATGTCGCTTGCAGATCCGACGGAAGGTACAGTTCTAGACGCTTCGCGTAACCCGACCAGGTTTCCCCACTGCAGTGTCTGGGAGGAGTGTACGTGCCGGCCACCCCCTGCCTGTCCCGACAGCACCCTCACCGTGGTGGATTGAATGCACCGTCACCGTGGTGGACTGGCGCCGCGGCGCAAAACACAGAATTCCCTGGCATTTTGCCACAGGGCTGCACGATGCTCGAGCTTCCCTGGGCGTTGCAGTTCACCCAGCCAGCCCCCCGCCGCCGCTGCCGCAGCTGCTGCCTCTGAGAGCTGGCCCGGCCGGCTCGCGCTGCGCCCAGCAGCTAATTAGGTTTGCCCGTCGGCCCGGACACCTTGTTCGCCGCCTGCGCTCTTCGCTCGCGGCCGCGACCAAAAAAAGTAACCCCACCAGCCCATCCAGAAACGATGCCCAGAGGAATTGCCTCGATCAGGGAAGTGTGCAGCACACAGAGGAAGGGTCCCCCAGTGGAGGCCTCTTGGAACGTCGTGAGGGCCTCTTGGCGGTCCCGGACGCCTCTTAGAGCGTCTTGGGTGCCTCGGAGAGCTTCTTAGGGCCTCTCGGCGGTCTCTTGGGAGCCTCTTGGAGGCCTCTTGGGCGCCTGTTGGGCCTCCTGGAGCATCCTGGGCGCCTCTTGGGTCCCTCTTGAAGCGCTCTTGGGAGCCTTGGGAGTGCTCTTGGAGCCCTCTTGGGCCATCTTGGAGCCATCTTCAGGCCTCGGCGAGAAAACCAAAAAAATGCATGTCCCTAAGGTTTTGGAAGGATGTTGGCCTCTTCGGGGCCTCCTGGGGGAGCTATTTGGCCACTTGGAGCCGTCTTAGAGCGGTCTTGGGGCCTCTTGAAGCATCGTGGAAGCCATCTTGAGGCATCTTGGGATATCTTGAGCCCTCTTGGAGGTCATCTTGGGCTCTCCCCGGCGCTCTTGGAGTCATCTGAAGCAGTCCCCCCCCCCCCACGAGGCCAAAATGTGGCCAAAATCTTACTAAAATCAATTATTTGGGCATTGTCTCCGAGGCCTCTTGGAGCGCCTTGGGTGGCCTCTTGGGGGTCTCTTGGGAGCCTCTTGGGGGCGCCTCTTGGGAGCCTCTTGGCGCCTCCTGGCCACCTCTTGGGGCCCTCTTGGGGCACCCTTGGGAGCCTTGGGAGCGCTCGTGGGGCCATCTCGGAGGAGATCGATCAAGTAAGGGGGGGTCCTTAATTAGCGCCCCCCCCAGAGGCCCGCCGCCGCCACCGCCGCAGCCGCCGCAGCCGCTGCCGCCGCCGCAGCCGCCGCAGCCGCCGCCGCCGCCGCCAAGTGACTCTGTATTGTTTTTTGACATGGATGGTGGGGGGAGGCCGCATCGGGTTGGCTGCGCATGGATCGAATTTGGAGGCAGATTGTGTTTGGTATTGTTTGTTACCAGGGATGGTGGGGGGGGCCCGCATTTTTCCTGGTTGGCTGCCAGTCACCTGGGGGAGGGGCTGTCCATTAACAGGGAACAGTGATAAACCCCTCCCCGAAGGGGAAGAAAGGGTGTTGGAAGAGGAGCCGCCCTAAACCACCTACGCCCAGAGGGCTGGTGGGATTCAGGAGGGGGAAAAACATATATACACATACACACACACACACACACACACACACAAACACACACACACACACACACACACACACACACACACACACGCACACACACACACACACACACAAACACATGGGAAGTGGGGGGAAGACGAAAACCGAGAAACAATATGGGGAGATATGGGGGAATCCTGGTCTACGGGTCTACTTCTTTGTGTGTCCCAGGGCCCCATTTAACAATCTGGGGTTAAAATCGATTCTGCAGCCATTCTCCTCCCCGGGCCTCAGCCCCGGGCTTTCTGCTCGCGGGCCACAGAGGGCTGCCCCTCTGGACCGGCAGCCGCCCAGGAGGACCAGAGCGGGCACGGCAGGAGTGGCGCCGATTTCGTTGGCGAAACACTCGACCAGACGTGAGTGAGGGGGGGAAGCGAGAAGGGGGGAGCGAGAAGGAGAAGGCCTTCTCGGAAGGCGGCGGGATTTCTCGGAAGCCCTCGCGCCTTCCAAGGAGCTTTTTGTTTGGTGCCCTCGGGGAAGGCTCAGGAGACTCTTCAGAAGGCCCGGGGAGACTTCCGAGCCTTCTGAGAAGGCTTTCTCCTTCTGCAACTCTACGTAGGAGTGACCTTTCGCCGGAGTGACCTTTGGTGCGGGCCCAATGGGGTCCCCCGATCGCCGAACGCGATGTGAGAGTAGCGTCTTGCGCGCTGGTGTCCGGTCCCCCCGCGGTCCCTCAAAAAGCCGCGCACCCAAGGACACCTTTCACTCTTGCGTGGCGTCGGTAGAAGATAAATTGCTCCGCCGTCGGGAACGCTTGCGCCACCCGGGTGGCTGGAAAGTTTCTGCCCCTGCGTGGCATCGTAGGGGTGCAAGTTTTTGCAGCCGGCCGGGGGGGCAAGCGTCCCCCCGACGGCGGAAGAGCTCATGCCGTACCATTCTTCGCCCCCCAGCAGAAGTCCGACGGCATGTACTACAGCCAACCCGCATAGTAAGGATGGGTAATTATCCCAAGGGCACCGTTGCATCCTTGCCTCCTCTGTCCATCCTTGGCCACGTTCGTTCGCCGCGCCGAGCTCGAAAAGCCTCGAGATTGGCGTCCAAGGCCCTTGCATCCTTATCGCGCATCCTTATGATACGGGCCGATTGTGTTCGCTTTGGGAACAGGGCTCTCTGCCGATGCAGCCGCGGACGCCGTATCTTTTTCGAGCGCGCGTCCTTGCCTGCAGCCGCCGCCATCGGCGCTGGGCAACAAACACCTCACGCCGGCAGCGTCCCCCGAGTGGGCGTGCCAGTCCACATCGGCGGCGAGCCCCAGAGGGGGCGGGCCTACTCAGAAGGCTCGGAGGTCCCCCGGCCTTCGGGTGAGCTTTCTCTAAGCCAGGGCTGGACCTAAAGGCTGTTTTGCTGGATTTCGGCTGGGTTTTGTGTCTCGTTTTGGGGGGGAGCTACAGCAAAGCAGGTAGGGCAAAACGAAAAACAAAACGAATAAGAACGTTTAGGTCCAGCCCTGCTCGAAGCCTCCCCTGAGGGCACAGAAAACTTGTCACCAGGACGGAAGGCCATCCGAAAAAAGACCCACCGCCTTCCGAGAGGAGCAGCGAGCGAGGGGGGGAGAACGAGAAGGCGAAGGCCTTCTCGGAAGGTGGCCGGGCTTCTCGGGAGCCATCGCGCCTTCTGAGAAGTTTCTTGCGTCTTCGGGAAAGGCTCAGACTCGAAGAAGAACAAATGCCATAAATCTAAACTTTTGGCGCTCCGCGCGTATTTCCTGGATCCGCGCTGGGGCCCCCCGGCGGCGCCTCAGGCGCCGCTCTTGGCGCGCTCCGCGCGCCAGGGAGGGGGGTCCAGCGCGGATCCAAGAAGTCCGCGCGGAGCGCCAAAAGTTGATGTTTATGGCGTGCTTTCTTTTTCTACAGACAACCTCCCGGAAGGCTGGGGAGACTTCCGAGCCTTCTGAGAGGGCCTTCTCCTTCTCATTTCCCCCACTTGGGCCCGCCGCCAGTCCACAGCCACTCTTGGCGCGTGCCCAGCGGGCGCCAGGACCCAACTCTTCCGCGGGAGCAACTTTTTCTCGCGACGCGGGCCCCCTTCGGGGCTCGACCTCTTCCCGCGGACCGGTACTTCATCCCCAGGAGGTGCTTGACGGTCCGGGGAAGCGGCTTCCGGAGGCCGAAAACATAATTAGCCGGCCGTCGCGATGTTTGCTTGCTTCGCCCGGATTTGCCCCCGGCGTCAGGTTGAGGAGGTCTAGGCCTCCGCGATGGGGTCGGAGTAAATGGGGTCGGAGGATCGCGCCGCATCGCCGATGCGGCTCGGTGCGGAGCCCGATTCGCTTCACGCGGATGTCGTTGGTGCCTCGCCGACGTCGCCGATGCATCGCCAGTGCATCGCAGATGCGGCGCGATCCTCCGACCTCATCTACTCGGGGGTTCATAGAGGGAGGCTTATCCCAAGGTGTGGCTGGGGAACGGGCCCAGCTGGATGCTCTCGTTTAACGAGTTTCCTTCTTCCAGGGGCCGTTCGGAGCGGTTTTCCTTCCAACCCCACCTTTGCCCCAACCCCACCTTTGTGCCCCCAATCTACTCCGGCCCCATCCAGGAGGCTTCCAGGAGGGTACCAAGCCGCAACAGGCAACAGCGATCGGGCTCCCAGGCCTCTTGTCGCAGAGGTCCCCCCATCGCGGTGCGTTCCTTCGCACCCGCTCGAGGATAATGTTTCATCCCGTCCCGACCCCCCCACCGCTTTTTTGGTTTCCGAGCGAGCAACTTGGAACGTGCGCGCGGGGAGACACACGCATGGCGGAGGCACAAAGGAAAGGACAGTTCGAGAGTGGACCCTCCTTTTTAAAGGTCGCCAGTGTTATGGCAGTGACCTCTGGCGCACTGGAAAGAGAGAGAGAGAGAGAAGAGGGGGCAGACTTACGGCTCAAGCTGGCCTCAGACGTTTCCACGGTCCAATTGGCTTTCCAGCAGGCCCGCTGGAGCGTCAGCATGGTGCGGCCTTTGACCCTATCTGGCTCGTTCGCGGGCGTCCTTGACCGCTTTTTCGTCATTGTTTCGCCGCTCGGCGCGGACCCCTGGCCTCCCCTCTCCCCATGCCCCATATAGACCAGATCTTGGCTTCTTCTGGCGGCTGCCCTTGGCGACTGGTCAGGACCCTGTCCCCCCAATCTGCTGACGCGACTGGTGAAAGCAGATCGACTGAGCGCAGGCCTCGACCCAGACCCCCCCCTCCCCCACCCTTCGGCCGAATGTCGAAACCCAGAATAAGAAAACGCTTACATCACCCCCCCCCCGCACTGCTCCGGCGCTCCTTGCCTAACTGGTTGTCCTCATCCCCCCCTCCGACGTCGCGTCTCCTTCGAGGCGTGGGGCTCCCTGGGGACTTCGACCCCTTCCCCGGGCCTGGCTCCTCCTCCAGAGTCGTTCCTTGCGGCCTCAGAAGCCCTCAACAGCCTTCTGAGAGGCCCACTGGCTCCGGAAGGGACCTGGAGAGCTAGACGGCTGGAGAGCTTCTGAGCCTTCTGAGAAGGCCAGCCCCCTCTGCATACCCCCCCTGGGCCCAGACGTCGACGTCATGAGGTGTTCCAAACGTGGACCCCCGGAAGTCTCGACCCATTCCCCAGGACCGGCTCGTCATCCCGAGTCGTTGTTCGACGCCCCCCCGTGGGCCGAAAATTACAACAACAACAACAACAACAACAACAACAACAACCAACCAACAACAACCAACAACCAACAACCAACAACCAACAACCAACAACCAACAATAACAACAACAACAAGAACAACAACAACAACAACAACAACAACAACAACAACCACAACAACCACAACCACAACCACAACCACAGCAACAGCAACAGCAACAGCAACAGCAACCACAATAATAGCAACAACAACAACAACAACAACAACAATTACTAGCACGTGGGGACACTCCGTTCTCACCAGTGCCAGGGTTTTCATAGGAGGCGGGCAATACCCCCACTTTGTGGGGGGGCCGGTTCAAGCTCTACCAAATTTCCAAACGACTCTTCGCCACCACCCACACCCAGCTTCCCGCCCTATGACGTTCGGACACTTCACTTCGTGGCATGCGGACGACCGTGGCTACTATTCAGGGCCCCGCGGCCGACGACGACGGCGTGCGCGCGCGAAGAAAAAACGAATGTGTCCCGCATGGTATTATTTGACAGGGATGATGGCCCTGGCAGGTGCGCAACCGTTGTCGCAGAAGTTCGAAAAAGTTGCTCGCAAAAGCCCGTTTGACAGAAATGTTTAAAAAGTGTTGGGTTTCCTACGAATCCGCAAGAGCGCGCGGGATGAGATTTTGACATTTTTTTGAAAAACCATTGGTTTTTTGATGTTTTTATGTTAAAATCGCTGCGAACACTAAGGTTTTGGAAGGATTTCGTCTTGCGCGCGCGAATGTCCACTTTACCTTATTTTTTGCAAGGGATTCTTGAAATTTGATTATATTAGAACAAGAAATGTCATTTTCTATTGTTTTTTGCAAGGGAAAGCGGATTACAACAAAACAACCGGATCCTGTACACACCCTCTTTTCTGAGACTTCCTCACGAAAATGATGAAAATGTAGCTGCGGCCTAGGCGGCGCAGGGGGGGGCGCGCACCAGGGGGCCCAACAATAATTATTCTTTAGAATAAATAATGTTCAACAACAACAACAACAACCACAGCAACAGCAACAGCAACGGCAACAGCAACAACAACAACAACAGCAGCAGCAACAACAACAGCAACAACAAAGCAAGAAACCAAAACAATAATCCGTGATTTGTTTAACGGCGCGATCGTGTCCGTGTACAGTCGGACCGAGGTATAAGATCGAGGTCGGTTCGGGGAGGATACCCTAGTGTTCCTCGTGCTTGTTGGACGTTCTTGTGCACCCTGGGGAAAGGGCACCCTTGGATTCTCTGTGCGTTTTGGCTGGCGGAGGGCCTCGTGCTCTTGAGGGATGCTCTTCTGGCCTGGGTCCGACTGCAGATCACCGACCCCCCCAGCAGTCAGCAGCCGCCACGATCAGCATGGCGTTTCTCTCTCGCGCCCGTGCTTCCTCCGCCGCCTCCCGGGCCCCCCCCCCGTCCTCGCTCCTGGATCCCCCCGACGCCCGAGAACTTCGACCATCGATCGACGACGACGGCGGCGGCGGCGGCCTCGACGGCGGCGACGCCGACGACGCCGTCGCCATCGCCGTCGCCGTCGCTGCCCTCGTCGCCGTCGCCGGCCGTCGTCGACGACGCTTGGGTCCGATTGTTTGCTGTCCCCCCATGGGCGCGCCGCCGACGGGTGCTCGCCTCAGCCCCGCCCGGACCCCTGGGCGGCGGGCATCGCGGCCGCGAGGCCCTGCGCGGCTGCTGCGGGGAGCCCGCCGCCTTCCGCTGGGTGCTGCCAGAGGCCGCGCGCTCCCTCGAGGAGGGAGTGGGAGGGAGGGCGGGAGGGAGGGAGGGAGGGCGAAGGAGGAGGAGGAAGAGGAGGAGAAGGAGGAGGAGGAAGAGGAGGTGGAGGAGGATGAGGAGGGAGGAGGAGGAGGAGGAGGAGGTGGAGGAGGGGGAGGAGGAGGAGGAGGAGGAGAAGGAGGAGGAGGAGGAGGAGGAGGAGGAGGAGGAGGGAGGAGGGAGGAGAGAGGAGGGAGGAGGCAGGAGGGAGGACGGAGGAGGAAGAAGTAGGTAGGACGTAGGAGGGAGGAGGGAGGAGGGAGGACAGAAGAGGGCAGAGAGAGGAGCGAGGCGGGAGGAGGGAGGACGGAGGAGGAGGAGGAGGCAGCCGCGGCGACGAAAACCTTCAGAGACGCCAAAAACCTGGCGAAACGACCGACGACGACGATGACTACGACGACCACGACAATCATGACAACGACGACGACGACCACGACCACGACCACGACGGCGACGACGACGACGGCGACGACGACAACGACTAAGACGACGACGACCACGACCACGACCACAAACCACGACGACGACAAAAATCACAACAACAAAACAACATCATCAACAACAACAACAACAACAACAACAGCAACAGCAACAGCAACAACGACCACGAACGACGACGACGTCGACGACGACGATGACGACCACGGCGACGACGACGACGACAACGACGACGCCGACGACGACGACCACGACGACGACGATGACGACGACGACGACGACGACGACGACGACGACGACGACGACGACGACGACGACGACAACGACGACGACGACGACGACGTCGGCGCCGACGACGACTACGACGCTCGTCGTCGCCGACGACGTCGTTCGCGGCGGCCAGCGGAGTCGCGACGGTGGCCGACGTCGTTCGCGGCGGCCCGCTCGCGGTGGCCGGCGCGCGCGCGCGCGTGCCCGACAGGCGCCCGCTCGCGCGGGCGAGCTGCTGCGCACGCGCCTGCTGGCCGTGGACGCGCAGGTGGGCTTCGGGAGAAGAAAGTAGAGGAGTAGGAGGAAAAGGCGTATGACGACGACGACGACGACCAGCGGGAGGGGGAGAGGAAGGGGAAGGGGGAGGGGAGGGGGAGGGAGAGGGGGAGACGGGGGAAGGGGGAGGGGCGGGGACGGGTGGGGAGGTATGGGGGGGAGGGGCGGGGGGAGAGCACCAGTTCGGACCAGGTCTGGTCCAGGCCTCGCCGCGGACTAGGGCAGCAGGCCTTTCGCCTCACATGGCGGAGGCGCCGCTGAAAGAGCAGGGGTGGTGTGCTACGCTCCCCCCTGGCGCGGCCGGAAAGACCCCGACTGGAAAGCGCTGTCGAAAAGTCACGCGAGGGCCCGTCTGCACACCCGAGGAAACAACCGCCGGCTGCTAGCGCGCTTTGGCGCGCGCTTCGGTACTCAGTGAACCGTGGTGCCGTTGGGGGCATCCCCAGCGGCGGCCCAGTGTGACAGTTACGAAACAGTGGCCACTCGCTCTCGCAGCACTTTCGCGACAGAGGACGCTAGCACTGGTGTGCTGAACGGTAGCACCAAGGTGCGCCTGGAGATTCCCCTGGGGCGAAATTCCCAAAGAAGCGGTAGGGCGGAAGGCCCGTCGTCGGCCATTCCAGGCGGCCTGCGCTCGGTGGAACCTGTCTAGCACCAGGGTTGACTGTTCCTGGATGGATTGGATGGTTTGAGCAAGGTGGTTGGCTCGGTGTTGCAGCGCCGTGATGCTAACGATGACGGTCGTTTCTCGTTTTCGTTCTGGCTGTTACTTTGCAGCTTCGAGGTGCTGCGTGAGGGATAGTCTTCGGTCCGCTCGCTGCGTCACAGGTTGACCAAGGCCTACTCCGCCTCGGAATGTAGGCGGACCCCTGTTCCCCGCACCCTAGTGGGAGGGAGAAGCGACTATTGGTCGGGTAGATTGGTTGTAGAGGCCAGTCTAGGCTGACGCCAGGCTGTGTTTTCGTCGTCTTCGACGTGTCCGTGACTGTGACCACCTGGTGGAGTAGCGTTGTTCCCATCGTCATCGTGCAAGGACGCTCCGAGCCCGAGTAGGCCCTGATCTTCGCCTTCGAAGTCGTCGGAAGGGACTCCCCAGGTATCGTCGAGATCGTCGAAGAAGTCAGGCCCTTGTGGGCTGTGCGGCTGAGCGGGATCATCCGGTGAGCCTGGTGGTTCGTGTATTTCTTGCCATATGGTGAGCGGGTTGGGCAGTGGTCTGTCTGTCTGGCAGGGGAAGAGCATGGCGGCGCCGATCGTAGATTGCGACGAGTGCGCTGTGCAACTTTGCCGCGAACTTGCGTCGCCATTGAGCTGCATCGGCGGGGCGCGGCTGCAAGGCGGACAGGCGTGCCCCGGCAGCAGCGAGTTCATCCGCATGACGAGAAGTTTCAGACATTGGTGCGATGCGGCCTTCGCGTACGCCTTGCTCGTCAAGGTGGTTTTCGACTCTTTGGACTTTGATCGTGCCCTGTCTGGCTTGAACCACGCGGTGAATATTTTGCCAGGGGCGCGCCCGGGCCCCAGCGGCCCGCGGTGGCCCCCCTTTCGGAAGGTCTCCGAATCCATCGACAAGGGCTCGGTGGCCGACGAAAGTGTGGACAGGCAGCTCTGCAGTAGCCACACGATGGAGCATGGCGAGGGCGCTCCACCCGTTGCGTGGACTGAGCCAAGCCACGCAATCGAGCTGAGTGGCTGAGCCAGCGATCCAGTCCGCAGTAGACTTGGAAACCCGCCCGGGCGAGAAGCGGGCGGGCCTGGCGCGCGCAGGCTACGTCTGCGGCGGCGCATGCCCTCCCGGCCCCCGCCTCGCCCGCGCGTTTCTTCAACTGGCCATCGCCAGGGCCTTCGGGCGGGGGCGGCGGGATAGTTTTTGCAAGCTCGTCGCGCGCGGCTGTGGCCCGGAGGCCCTGCAGATAAGGGCCTGGCGGCGGGCACGCGCTGGAGGAGGGACATCCTCTTTGAGGCTCGAAGCACGCGCGCGCACAGGCCGGCTCGCAGGTGCAGCCACGAAAGGCGAACACCCGTGTCATCACACATCGTGCCAAAGGGCGGCCAGCGCCATTCCAGTCGGGCGACGATTTGCCAGACGCTGCCCACGCCCCCCCCCACCCCCCCACCCCCCCACCCACCCCCCAGGGGAAAGCTTGCACGCGGTCGCGCGCAGCCCTGCGGCTTTTGAGATGAGACTTGTGTCTCCCCGCGCTTGTCTGCGCAGCCCGAGCAGGGCTCCCCTCTGGGCGATAGCGCTCAGCTCGAGGGCGCAGGGGCAGCCAGAGCGAAGCGGCCCACTGTGAAATCCAAATCGCTCGTTGGGCCCCATGACAGCGAAGATGGAGTTATTATCAAAAGGATTCGCACCCTCGCGCCAAGTGCCCGGTTGTCAGTACCAGTGGTGCACACGCTAGCTGCGAGGGGCCCAACCGATCGAGCTCGCGCGCGGGCGCCCTCCGGAAGGCTTCCTGCACGCGGGAGTTTGGCGGCAGCCTGTCGTGCCCCGGCGTTTGCGGCGGCCGCCAGATTCAAGGCGGCGTCGCCCACTGCCAGCGCCACCTCGACGCAGCCCCCCACAAGCTTCACATGCTGGCGGCCCCGCAAGGGGTGCGCAATCAGCTGGAGAGACGCCATTTGTCGGTGGGGCCCTCGCCCACCGCCCAGCCCGCCACTTTTCCGCGGCGGTTTTTGGGGGGGGCCTGACAGGCGGGCGAACAGCACAGTTCCATCGAGGGAGAACTGTAGCTCGCCAGCGGCAGGCGTCGCGGATTCGCTGTCGCCAGCGAATGCGATTCCGAAAGATCGCGGCACGCCCAGCGCTGTCGCCTGGACCGTGCGCACATCAGCAAGTAGATGCCATCGAGAGAGAAGGAGTTGGCTTGAAGGTGGCCGCAAGCGTGCACATGGACCGCCCCCCATGCGAATGCACCTCTGGCGGATGAGAAGCATTTCCTGACTTGGCCGACGTCGGGCGGGCACCCCGCGCGCAGCGCCAGGATGAGGCAGACGTCCGCGACAACGTAGGCGAACACTTGTGCCCGGCGAGCGCCACCCCCGCCCGCGGCGCGCGGAGGCGGCGCGCATGCTCCGCCTAGAGAGCCTCCGCGGCGCCGACATCTCCAACGGCGACGTGCGCCACCGCGCCAAAGCTCGCCAGGCTGGCCCACGGCGCCCCCCACGACGCCAGGCCGCGGTAAACTGGCGCGTCCCAAGCACGCATCCACGCAGGCAAGACAGCGAGCAAGCGCTGGTCAGCGGGCAGTTCCCCCGCCCCGTTGACGAAGGCAGAGGTTTGAGATATGGAAGAAGAGTTCCGGCGCAACCCCCGCGGGTTGCATGGCATTCTGTTTCTTGGCAAATAGACGCAACACGCTGTCTGGCAGCGCCTTCGTTATTTTGGCGGCCCAGTCGTCCAGACCGCCCGCCCTAGCAGCAGGGCGGGCGCGGATGAAACTCGCCCCGTCGGTCAAGACGAAGGGCGCAGCAGGGGCGGGGTCAGGAGGTCCCTGGCGGCGCTCCGCCTGGAACGAATCCCAACTGGGAATGGCCTCGTCAAAACGGGCTCAAGTCTGCTGGCGCCGCCCCAACATCGGTTCCCAGGCGTCCGTCATGAGCTTCAGCATGACCCCCGTGCCATCAAGGATTTAATCTTGTTGGGCGAAGCGGGGTCTTCGGAGTCAGACTCGCTCTTACGTGGCCGCGCCAAGAAGATCTGGTTGCAACTGCGAGTCAGGTGGCCGCGAGTCCGGCGACTGCGAGTCTGGCGACGCACCGCTGGGCGGGGGGGGGCCACGCAAACTCGCCGACTTGCCGCGAGGGGCCCACGCACCTGGCGGCGCGCGCAGGGGGGGCCTGCTGCGCGGCGCACGCATGTAGACCCCATGCGAATTGTTTGACTCACCAGTTATTCGCCCTACCTCCGCGGTTGGCTTCAATCCGAATGCGCCCGGCCTTGATACGTCGATTGGCCTTATCCCGTCGGCTGGACCTCCATGACCGCGCCTCCGCGATGCGAGAAGGTTGTCCGGTTGCAGGTCGGCGGGGAGCCCATCTGGGCCCCATGCGCGCGGGAACTCCGCCAGGCTGGTGGGCCGCTGCCTCTGGGCGAGGACGTTGGCCGCGATCCACGCGCGCTTGGTTTGCCCCCACGTTTGCAGACGGCCAGTGCCATGCGTTCCGCTGCGCGCCAGGTTTTTTTTTCACTAAGAACGTTTAAGTATCCGCGAGTTCTCGCCAGAGCTTATCAAGAGCAACGGTGGCGCCATCGGCCACGCCGCGTTCGGGGTGGACCAGCGGCGCGGCGCGGGCGTCTTGGAAGCGCGATGATTGCATTCCGTGCATCGTTGGTCATTGGCGCGGGTTGTCTCGCGGTGGACTTCTTTAGCGGAGTTCTGAGCGGAAGGCGCCACCTGATTTGCCAGGATTCAAAGTTCGTCGATGTCGTCAGCGGCGCCCGCCTCCTCCGCACGCGTCCGGCATTCTCGTTCAATGCGGCATCCCAAGGCGCGTGGCCCGTCCTCGTCTGTCGTCGGACAGGCGACTGGGCATGGAGCAGCAGTCTTCGTTCCACTGGCAGAATGTCTGCTGACATCGAGGTCGAGCGAGGCGAGGAGCCTTAGATGTTGCGTAGTGAGGAGATCCCGCGGAAGGACAAAGTTGGTGACGAGTTGCCTACCTCTGCTGTCAGCGAAGATGTGGTCGATGCGCGTCGGTGCCCGTCCTTGACGGCATGTGCAAGCTCGTTCGCCCGGGTATCCCGTTGCAACGCTTGTCCACCCCAAGGTTGGGATGTGCGCGAGAAACGCCGAGCCGTTTATGTCGCATTGGGCGCCCATACAAGTGAAATAGGGCGCATGTCCTACTGTGGGCCGCATCCCCGACTTGGTGGGCAAGGACCGCGCTGTCGGCGCCAGATTTGGCGTATAAGGATGCGACACAGATGCTTTCAGTGGCAGTCTTTTTCCCCAATCTCTCCGTCTGGCGGCGGCGGCCGGGGCAGGA